AACAGTGGGAGTAACAGTAAGGATGGCTGTGAGAAGTGTCATTGACTGAAGGGCGGGACTCACTCACGTTATGCAGAAGGAAACCATCACCACCTACCTGCTTCCCCCTGCTGTTGTTTTTTATTTCCACCATAGTTAATATTTGTTTCTTCTTAACGGTCTACCTCTGAAGCCTCACTGTGACTTTGCTGTGCCAGTGTGAATATTCTTGTCACTCTTCCAGGCAGAGAGGCAACCATCATCTTATTCAGGCACAAGCTCTGGCGAGGCACCACGCACGTTTCTCACACATAACATACATTTTCATTCTAGTCCAGTTGACTCTTGGAGCACCTGACTCCTCACCTGAGCACTTTCTCTGGACTGCAGACTTGATACTGAGGGTGTGCCTGAAATAAGCTTTACTTCAACTTGATACAAAAAAAATGTGTATGAAGCAGAAATTATTGGGAAAAAATTGAAAAGGTATCTATACCTCAAGAGTCTTGGGTCTTTTTAAATATTCTAAATTACTTTTAGGTTATGAGAAGAAAAAAATACCTTTAAAATTAAATGTATTATATATTAGGAATGTTGAATGTTGGTGCTGTGTAACTCAATGCTTTCTCTAGTAGCAAACAAAAGCATTCACCTGGTCATCTGAGAGCTATTGTAAAGACTGCCCAGTGAGGATTTGGCTCAGTGGTTCCACCGCCTGCCTCGCAAGTGCAAGGATATGAGTTTGATTCCTGGTACCAAAAAAAAAAAAAAAAAAAAAAAAAAGGATTTCCCACCTCTACTTTAGTGCTTCTTTGCATAGTTAAACTGTTTACAGCTTTAGCATCTATTATTGAGGAAATGTAAATAAATACCATATATGTGATAGGTCTTTGGAGAGTTCCCTGGGATTTTACTGTGAGCAAACTCAGAAAATCTCTATTATTGTAGAAATAATATTCTAATAAGAGGCACAGACAGTAAATAAGTAAATATGAAAAATTCAGAGTTTTGAGACATAATCTGAAGGAGGCAAAAAAGTAGCTGCTTTGTGACACATTTCCAGGACCATGAGTTTCAGAAAATCTTCTTAGAAGAAGTATCATTTGCACTAAGAAAGCAGAATGAGGCAGGGTTAACTTCTCCTCAGTTTGATCTTATGCCTTTGTTACCCAGTTTTTCTACTAATAATTATGTTTCTTCTTTTTGCATGCCTGAGATCATTATTACCCATACCCTGCGTTTAACACGCAGAATGCCTTTATGGTTTAGAGCTTGCATCTTTAATGAGTGAATGCTGTATATATGTGAGGGAATGATAAACTTCTTAAAATGTGTGTGAACCCAGCATCAATATGGCACTGATGCATATGGCGCTGTAAGTGCCTCCACCTTTCAGCCAGCTGGGAAAGCGGAGGGGAAAGATGCTGAGGATGACATACTACAGTGGGAGATCTCAATCTAATTTTTAAAGTAGTATCATGTTCTCTGCTAGAGATTTAGGTGTGTATAAAAAGATGTTATTACTAGTATGTGTTTATGTGTCAAAATATAAAACATATGCGTTTTATGTTATATAGATGTGTATATTTCTTTAATAACCTGAGATACAAATTCACTTGTATCCTGTCATGATCCTGGCTAGAGCTGTCCATGAAAGCATGCCAATCATCTGATACTTTCTCACCCATGTTAGGGTAAGCTCTCCGTCTCTCTCTATCTACCTATCTATCTAATCTCTATCTCTATCTCTCTGTCTCTCTCTTTCTCTTTGGTGGTGCTAGGGATCAAACCCCAAGTCACTCTACCACCAGTGCTGCATCCTGGCTTCTATTTATTTGTTTTTATTTTGAGACTCCATCTCACTAAGTTGTCCAAGTAAAACCCAGGCTGGCCACCTACCTGCTTCAGCATCCCAACATACTGGCATTGCAGGCCTGTTCCACTCTCCCTGGTGACTCACTCATTTTTTTTTTCATTCCTCAATTCATCCCTCCATTTATCTCTAGCATCTCTCCATTGACATTTTCCCTACCAGAACCAGTACGTTTTCAGTTCTTTTACCCTAGGTAAGTCATTTCTAAATTCTCTTTATCCAGATTTCTCTTTATTCAAATTATTTTGCAAAAATAATGTGACACATATTTGACAGACAGATGTGGCAATTGAATACCCATACATGAATGGCATAATTATGTATGAGCACATTTATGTGGGTGTGTGTACACATACACGTACATGCAGTTCACTCTCCAGACCCACGGATTCAGCTCTATTCACAGACTTGACCAACTGCAGATATTAAAATATTAAAATTAAATCATAAAAACATAAATTATAACTACATTAAAGAACTTATAACTGTTCTAAATATGTGCACTTTTTGTACCTTAAAAGGGTGTCACAACTATTTATATAGCATTTTCATTCTATTATGTGTTAGTCTAGGGATTTATGACCGATGTACAGGGGATTATATGCAAATCCTACACCATTTTATAGGAGAGACTTGGTAACCACAGCATTCACTGGAAGGCCCAAGAACCAATCCTTGTGGATGCCGAAGAATATCTGTGTATTTGTATGTTTACATATGAACACGTGTGCAATGTGTGTATGCACACATGTGTGCACATAGAGGCCCACACACATATATAACTGCCTGAACACTTCTTACTGTATTTGCTTATTTTTGTCAGTCCTCTGTGTCTTGTACCCTGGCTTTCTTAACTTCCACACTGGCTCTCTAAAGGCGTAGAGCCTTGTAGAGATTTCAGTGATAGAAAGAGCTTGCTGTGACACACGTGTCATAGATTTGCCACCACGAGCATGGAGCCATTAATTCACTCAAAAAATAGTATTTTTGAACACCTATTCTATCTCAGATGCTGTTCAAGGCTCTAAAAATTTAGCCAAGAGAAATTGCATTGACTATCCCTGCCTATAGAGAGTTACCAGGAAAGTATCAATGAAGTACAAGCACACAGTGTGTCGTTAGCCCTTTGTGAGGTGCTGTGAAGCAGCACAGCCAATGTACCATTGACATGTAATAATTGTCCACGTGTATGGATGCAGTCTGGTGTTTCAGTACATATAAACATTGTGTAGTGAACAACACAGAGAATGTTTAATCAAACACAGGGGAATCTCTGTTTCTGGAGTTCTGGTGGGTGCCTGAAGTCTGTACAGTGAGTACAGGCCAGTTAGCTAAAGGGAACCATCTTTATAAAAGTCCTGAGGCAGAAGCAAACAATTGAAGAATGGCTTCTACGATGGGAAAAAGGCAAGCGATCCAACTCTTGGTGTCATAGGAAGTTGCAGAGTCAGAGTGCTGATGTGGGAGGCTTCAGTCTTGGTGCTGCAGGCAATGTGATGCCACAGGGCCGGTGCAGGGGGGTCTCCACAAAGGCCTGCATGTAGAGGGATGGGACAAGACTAGATAATGACCTTTACATTTTCTTAGGTTTACTCCCTGTGTTTTCTAAAACTTCTTGACACCATGTACTGTTTCATTAATGGAATTCCATTTTCATTTGTTATTCTATACTCATGCAGAAAGTCTGAGCTGGGTGTGGTAGCCCACACCTGAAATGGCAGCACAATGGGATGCCGAGGCAGGAAGATCACAAGATTGAGCCCGGCATGCAATTTCATAATTTATCAAAACCCTGCATCAAAAAAAAAAAATAAATGGAGTTGCAGTTATAGCTCATTGTGTCACAATGAGGGTCCTGTGTTCACTTTCTAGTACCACAAACAATCAAACTCTCCCACCCCACCCCAACCCCTGCCACCATAATTTTGTTCTCTGCTTCTCTGCTAGGCCAAGATAGAAAGAGATTTTTTTCATAAAGTTCTTTGACCTTCTCAATAGGTAAACAATGGACCTCCATTTCCATCCAACACCATGGTCATTGGTCATGAAGGAATCAGACATAAAATGTATTTTAAATGTTCCTGGGAGAAGTCCTTAAGATGTTTAAAATTTCCATTTTATTTCTGTAAATAGAAATACAGCACTCTTATTCTTTGTTTAGCTTGCTAGGTCATTGTTCCCAAGCCCTTTTAAGGCTGCCCTGACGTGGCAAGAAAATACCCCACGGTGAGAAGCGTTCATGGACAGCTCAACCCAGAATCATGATGGCCAGCACTGTTTTACCACGAGCTTTTCACTCAAGAACTATCCAGGACGCAAATGAAAGTGCGTCATGTGCACATAACAAGATGGATATTTGTACATTTTGTTGTATAAAATCTTATTAGTAATGACATTTTTGACACTCACCTTTTTAAGAACCTGTTGTCCTGGAAATGCTTCAAAAAGCAGTTACTTTCTGTTGTATCACCCTTTTGTCTCCTTCAGAGTGTTTGACTGTCGCTCACTATAATCTCAGGGGCTGTCCAAGTGTCCATATAAAGCATTTGATTATATTTCCTTAGTCAAATATTAGTTGTGAAAGCTTTAAGAAGTCTGTCTAACTGTATGCTCAGAAGCCCTAAAGCAGTGTTGAGTGAGTTGTGCAGATTCTTTGCTGTAGTTCACAGCTGACTATGCAAATGTTTTTGTTTTTGTTGTTATTTTTGTAAAATTTGAATTTTTATCGAGTCAGTTATGGCTTTTCTAGTTCATAATAAGATACAAGCCAGGATTTTTTTGCTTTTGTTTTTATTTTTCATATGCTGTTTTAAAAGTTAGGAAAATAGTGTTGTCATGCCTACTTTTTTCCCCCACACTTAAAAGGCAACCTATGAGTAATCTGTCACAAAATGTAATTTTGGAAAACACTTCACACTTATTTAATGAAGTCACTACCAAAATTAGGCATAATCTCAAGTAATACTGTTAAGTAATGCTGCATAAAATATCATTCAAAATTCAGATTGACAGGTGTGTTTACTCACTAAGCTGGAGTGGTGGGTCATACTTACATGTCTCAGTTTAGGACAACACATTCTGTGAAGAAAAAAAAAGTTGAAACGAATGACCATTGTACATTTATTGATCTAATTTGTATTTGTTTTAGGGTTTCTTTTCTAAATGATGGAGGACTGAAAATAGCCAATGTGACCAAAGCTGACTCTGGAAGCTACACCTGCACAGCAGAAAACCAGTTTGGGAAAGCCAATGGTACCACACTCCTGGTGGTTACAGGTGGGTGTGTATCTCACAGACTGCTGTCCCGAGGGATGTGCTGCGGTTAAGGACATTGGATGTAGGTTTTCCATGATATGCAGTACACCATGAAGTAGAACCTGTTTTTTTTTTCTTCTGTTCATTTTAACAGGGTGTATTACTTAATATTTCTTTAACACAAGACAGTGTACATGGAGAGACATATTAGTTACTGGACTGGAAGAATCAGTTGTAAGGATTACAAATAGCATATAGGGATGGTATTTTATGCTGTTATACCACATAGTTCATTGTAATTGGTCTTTTCTGGTGGTATTCAAGTTCATAAAAATAATTGCTTCAGGTTGTGGATACATATCTTTCATGTTATTCAAGAAAAGATGAGCATCTATTATGTGCCAAGTACTTGAACTATTCCAGTGAGAATCTCTACAAAGATACTGCTCCCGTGAATCTTAAATTATACAGCAGCTAGAAAGAAAATAGGCAATAGGAATAAGAAACAAGGAGATTATTAGAAGGAAAAATTGCAAACAATTGAGAAAGTAAAGAGGAATGTATGGGGGAAAAGTAAGTTAAAGTATGAAACAGTGTTCAGCATAGAACTCACTGAGGTGAGATTGGGACAAAGATTTTAGGGAGATGAAGGTGAAATCAAACAGATTTCCTGGGGACAATTATTTAGACAGTTATTTACAAACTTCAGCTTTCAGTTGGATTGAAAAGTGGAGCCAGTAGTGGATTTTTAGCAGAGAAATGTGGTCATGGTAATGGCATTTTAAAAGAACGGCTCTAGCTGCTCTGTTGAGAAGACTGTGAGAAGGAAGAGGCAGAGAAGGTCTCAAGAGCTATTGCTGCAAATCAGGAAGAAAGTGGTCATGACCGAGATGGAGCTGGTAGCTACAGAGATGGTGGGGTGGAATCAGATTCTGGATAAACATGAGTCAGGAAGAGATGCTGAAAGGAGATCGGAGGTCCAGGAGTATGAGAGGATTTGAAAATCCCTGTAGGGTGAATAACAGGAAGAATGAGAGTCAAACAGCTGACATGGCACAGGTTGCAGGTTGAACAGCACTGCAGAGGAGGAAGATCATGACTTTACTTTGGATGTATTGCATATGAGATGTTTATAGGCTCTGTCAGTGTGAAGCAGACTGTGGATTTGCCAAGACGTCGGTGGATTAAAATAGCAGCAGTTCACTTTTTGCCCATGTGACAAGTCCGTGGTGAGTCAACTGTGCTCTCTTCATAGGGATAACGGGATCTGTCGTTTCCACCATCTGCCACATTGTCCATCCCCACAGAAGGGTAAAGAAAGAACATCAAATTACCCAGTAGTTCTAAACTTCAGCCTTTCAGTGCCATGTGTAACTGCTACTGCATCAGCCAAAGCATAGCTTTGGGCTATGCTTGAATTCAAAAGGTTTAAGAATTTAATCCTACTATGTGCCCTAAAGAAAGTGATTATGGTTGACATCCATGGGGAGATGCTGAGTAGGTAGGTGGATATATGAACTTGGATAGGCAGAGAGAGATCAAGGACAGAGCTACACATATGGCCATCATTGACTTATATATGGGTACCTGAACTCATGATACTAGCTCTAATCACCAAAACGTGCATAAAGACTGGAAATTTAATAGATAAAAACAAAATTGAGCACACAGTCAGTGCTAAGAAACTTGGGAACGAAAAGTGGGGAATTTGACATAAAGATAGACATGAAAGAAGGTCCCAGAATGGTGGAAGAAAACTAACATTATAGAAATGTAGAGAGGAAAGTACAATGAGAATACAGTGTTCCAGTAAAACAGGTACAGCTGAGAAAGACCCAAATTTTACCATTGGGTATTACAGCAAGGACCTTGGCGAGGACAGGTGGGTCAGGGGCACAAAAGGCTGACTGAACTGGGTTAAATAGGTAACCTGAAACAGATATTTATAGACTATCTCCACAAATGACTCATTGGAAGATTTTTGCTCTCATGTGTTGCTAAGACATGGGGAAGAACAGTGGGAAAGTGGACTCAAGGAAAGCTGAATTCACAAGAGATGGGAAGTCTGCAATGAGAATGTGGAAAAGGGTGTACATGTGGACATTTGCTTTGAGACAAAAGCACTAATGAACAGTTTGGTGTAGTGCCTCTCTCATGGTCTCTTCTCAGATCATTTACTTAGTTTTGCATATCCATTCAAACATGAAAGATCTGAGTATATTTAAACTTTGATGTTAATACTATTGCTAGTCACTAAAATTTGGCAAAAAAAGTTGTGCAGTAGTTTCTATTTCTAATGCTACCTTTTACAAAATAATAAAACGAAGTTGAAATTGATTCTCAGTATTATTAAAACTGCAGATGACCTTAATTTCTAAACTTTAATATTTTGTGAACTCAGATATGCTAATTTCTTAGCACAAACTTGTGGATCCAGTAAAATTTAATATAGCTTTGCTTGAAAATATCTGTTTTTAATCTTGAAGGCTTGCAATTACATAGATGCATGTGTATACCTGTACATATGCAAACACCATCTGCCTGTGCAAACTGTATTCATCGTGATAAAAGTGCTAACATTTTACTTACAAATTTTTTACCTAATAGAACCTACGAGAATAACTTTGGCCCCTTCTAACATGGATGTCTCAGTGGGCGAAAGTGTCATTTTGCCCTGCCAGGTGCAACATGACCCTTTGTTGGACATTATGTTTACTTGGTATTTCAACGGAGCCCTCACAGATTTTAAGAAAGATGGATCTCATTTTGAGAAAGTTGGTGGGGTAAGTTGTGGCTCTTTCCTCACACTTTTTATATTATAGGTGTCTATGACATGTTGCCTCTGAAAAAACAGCAGGAATGTTGGAAGTACTCTAGATACTTCTAAATGAGAAAATCTTGCTTCCCTATTCTGTTTTGATCTAATTTTATTTTTGTAATTAGAAGAAATTGAGCACATTTACTTCAATGCATAATTTTAATTAAAGTGGTGCATATTGCAATTATATTAAATGTTATTCTGCATGATAATTTTGTTGTATCCCATGCAACAATTTTGTTGTATCCCACTTGTATATAAGTATTTCATCTCAAAATATCTCTTGATGATGAGGTTGGAGGTAAAATATTTACTAAGTATTTTTGCATTGCATTGGACATTAGCAGTAAGATCATTGAGGACTTTTCAGGGTCCCTCAGCTAATTATTGGTAGAGCTTCAAGCTTAAATCTGTGTGACTCTTCAACATAAATGCTCTCCAATAATCTGTTGTGTTTCCTGGAGTGTGGTGGGTCTGTTTTAGGGAAAAAAATGCAGATTGCAAGGAAAGTTTGATAGTAGTTAAGGAGTCACTCAGTGGTGAGCCATGAGTGTGACAGTGAGCCTTGCAACTGGTCACTCATCGTGAATTCTGATGAGCAAGGCCAACCTCCTTTGCACCTGTGTTGCACTGACTCATTGATAGGTTGATTCTGTTTGAAACTGTGTCAAACTGGGTTTTTTTTTCCATAAGGATTAACATGTAGGTATCAGTAAAACAAAAAAACCACATAACAGTCAATTCAACTATATTAATTTGACAAGCCTTCTTTTTTAAATAAATGTATAAATACACTTAGGTGTTCTAACATATTAGGATTATGTACAATTTAAAAGGCTGCTGTACGGGGTCGGTTTGGGAATATATCTCAGAAGATATGTTCAAGTACTTGTGCCTAGTAGCTCAGAATGTGACCTTATTTGGAAATAAGGTTATTAAAGAGGTAATGGGTTAAATTAAGAGGAGATTGGGCCTCAATCCAATATAATACTATTTTTATACAAAGATGGCAATTTGGATTCCAGTGCACAGAGAGGAGATGCCATGGGAAGACGCAGCACACAGACACGGCTGTGTGGTGGAAGAGGCAGAGATTGGAGCTCACATGCCAAGGCACGGAGGGGTTCCCAGAACCTGGACCCACCTCTCCAGAGTCTAAAAGGAGCACGACCCACCCGCACCTTGACTTCAGACTTTTACCCTCCAGAGCCATGAGAGACTGCACATCTATTGTGTGCAGCTACTCAATTTGTGGTGCCTTCTTATGGTTATCCTAGTAGAAAAGAGAAACATTTTAAAAGAAAACAGAAAATTGAGAAGTTATAGACCAATCCACGGTTAAGTAAAATTTCAGGTACCAGTTTTCTGTTTTTTTCTGACTGATTCAAGGCTTTGAAAAACATGATCTAGTTGCTGTGACCCTGCGTATTTCTTTTACTGTTGCTTTAAATGGCCACCACACTCTTGTCACCGGTTTCTTCCATCACAACAGAAAAAGCGTGTTATCATTCTTCTCACCTATCGCTCTGCTCCATACTCAGAATCTCTTACAATTTTTTCTTCCTGTGACAGAAGACTGGGCAAGAATAAAGCCTAATATGTAACTCTCATAAAGATCCTTAAAACAGTCTAGCAAAGGCTGTTTCCATAACCCAGATCTTCTCTTAACTTTAGTGTTTAAATAAAAAATTCAGGCTGAAATATTAGTTATCTTTACATCCAATATAGATAATTATGTTTGTGTTCTTATCATCCAGATTTTCAGTTGTGTTGGTAATATTTTATCTAACACAAGACTTTCTTTAGTTAATGCTAAATAAGTGTATATGGAAGAACTAAAAAGCCAAGTCCTTTGATCATAATATGTATCACACAGCCACAAAGAAATGCTCAGAGGTGAACTAGATTGCTGCTTTCAGTAAGAGGAAATTGTAGTTAAGAAAATTTGAGTTGATAATATAATTTAATTTTCCTCATTTACACAGCACTGGTGGTTCTACAGCAGGCATAAAGTCATCTCTGTAAAGAGTCAAGTGTGTGAAACGTGAATTTTCATAAATTAATGCCATCACTTGCCAGTTCTGCTCTTTCTCTAACATGCTGGTTCATGGCCTATGCATTTTTTTTATTGTCTGGTGCCATTAGTAACTTAATATTCTCCCATCAGTATAAAACAGTAAGCCTTACAAGATGACATTGCCCTTAAGCACAAGCAATTAAGTAAATCGGTTTTCTGTTGTATGAGAAGGGAATTATGTAATAGCTCTTGTCCTCTGATTCTGTATTCATTACTACATGCACATTAATACCTTGTCTGCTTGTCTTTTTTCCAGTGTGTTCATAGATAGATGCTTTATTTTTTGAAAATAAGCAAAGAAGTTGGCTGCCCCAAGTTTCGTAGAGGTGTAGGTTTAAAGAGAGAAGGATGGTTTAGATTATGAAAAATTAACTCATAGCTTTCAAGCAATTCAGCAAGTTGTCCTGGGGATTGTACTATCTGTTCAGTACTCAATCATTCAATTTTATGAAATCCTTCATTCAGAAAAAAAAAATCTCATAAAGTCAAAAAATTTCAATAATTTGGAGTAGAGCTATTATATAAATTTGGACATTATTCCAAAAGGGCAGATTGACATCAATCACAGGTTTCTTCAAGTTTTGAATTATATATTCACAAAAGCTTATTACATTGAGTACCTCAAGTGGATTAGCACAAACAAGTCTAGCTCCAAAGGCTGTTGCAGCCTGTTGTCCATGGGGCAAATTCAAGTAATGTAATGAGTGGACAGAAAAAGACTTCCACTTAAGTTGACTGTTTGCCTAGTAAATCCTTGTAAGTAGAGTATGATGAGATTAGAGAAATGGCAAATTGTGTTCTGATACACAAAAGTTTTAGGATGCTGTCGCTTGCTCCATGATGCCCGTGGGTGAGGGAATCACTTAAATTTCTGTCTCTTGCTCTCTAATCTCTTTCACATCAGTTCTTCTTATTTACCATGTTCTTTCCTTCTGCAAGATCTTGAATACACTGGCCTCTTCCTAGAATACTGTTTCCTCTCCTTCATGTATATGTATATCTTCACATATAATTTTGTTAGTGTAAGAAAGTAGTATTCATCTCTGGTATATTTTCATTTCACACATGTACAAATGAAAGAAGAGACACACAGGTTCAGCTGTGTACATATGGTAATATTCTATCACACTCGTTTCCAAACCAGGTGCTCAGCCGGAGATGGGGGCAGGAAAAAGAGATTCCATTATTTATCCCTATATAGTATCTTTTTTTCCAATCTGTAAATACATCTGACATTTCATTGATTAGAAAAGGCATATTTAACATCCAAAAGTTAAAGAGAAACAAAAGAACATTGTTAGCTTCTGTGTGAAGCCCACCACCTGTTAATTTAATTCTTATTTTAGGAACATTCAAGGATAATTTAGGCATGCTTAATAAGCTAAATTTTGGATTTAAGATCCATCACATTACAGGAGTTCACTATAAATAAAACATTTAAAACTAAACACATAAACAGTTCAATATGTATTATAAGAATGTTTAAATATATATGCTTAGACTGGCCATGGTGGTGCATACCTATAATCTCAGCACTTGGATGGCCGAGGCAGGAGGATTGCCACAATTTCTAGGGCAGTCTTGACTACATAGTGAGACCCTATCTGCAAAAAACGAAACAAAAAGTATATGCTTTGATAAAGCTTGTGTGGAACAGTTACTTTAAAAATGAAGGATGTCTAAAACCAAGCTATACAGTTTTATAAACATTTTATGGAATTGGATCTATGATGAATAAGAATGTGCACAGATAAAAAAACACTGGACGCCATAAAAAGTTAAGCAGTGACAACCAGTCTGCCATCCATTCAACTGGCTTACTTCAATATGATTTATTTCCCACATCCACAATGTCACTTTGGTTACAGCACTTATGAACTTGATGCTTGGTGTCTTTTTCCCTCTCTCATTTATAGAAAAGAATATCTTTAAAAGTGATGTTTTATATGTGATAATATCATGTTACTTTGATTTTATGACTTGATTTCTTTAATAGAATTGTTTGAGAGTGAGAACTAAAATTTTGTGGGATCATCAGTTCTTTTACAATGCACAACTGTGTAAATATGCAATCTAAAAAGATTATAAGAAAGTAGAATGGAGACTATTATTAGGCAAGAGGAAAGGAAGAAAGCGGAGGAAGAAGGATGTAAGTCTTTGCATTAATATCATCAAAATACATCACCCATATTTAACTACCCTGCAAAGAAAACACGTAAAACTTGAGGGAAAGTTGTTACAAGGGAATGATGGATGGGTAAATGATGAAAGTATGTAATGTGCAAGTACAGATCTGGTGAAATAACACTCATTAATCTCTATATCCAATATACTAATTTAAAATGTGGGGAAAACTTTACATGTGGATTTTAAATATGGATCTGAAACAAAGCACCCATTCTACAAATTACTTACCTTGACATATTGAGTTTTTAAATATTTCCCTTGTAGATTATCTCTTAAATTTTACACCTTGTCCAAACTGAAGATCTACTGATTTAGATCATTAGGAGAAAGTGCCAAGTAAATAATGAGCCCATAAATATGGGAATAATACCAGAAAAATTATTATTATTGGGTGGTTTTAAACACACTTCCTGAAGCACAGCTCCTCCCATATTGCTATGTGCTATTTAAAAAGAAGCAAGTGTTTCCCCATTCCATCTGGATAAAGGCAAATACACAAAACACGTATTTATTTCCCCAACTCATGTTTTAGTCAACCAGGCATACAGGGACTCACTTGCTGCTTAGAGTGCAATTGTTCTTCCAGAACTGTGTTTCATAAGTACAGTATTTATTAAGATGAATGGCTCAAAATCGAGCACAGTGGAAATCCTGTAAGATAAATTTGAATGTTCAAGAAAACATGAAAGAGACAAACCAAG